AACCACCCAGACTCAGGACAGCGGAGCCATCCGCTGGCTCGTCGAGAGAAACCTCTTCGCGCCCATTAGCCCCCTTCCCCCGTCAGTGAGCTTCTTTTGGACGGCGAACCCCAGACGCCCTTGCCAGGCGTCCAGGGCACCACTGGCGAAGCAGCTTGCGCCCCAGCTAAGGGCGCGGTGGCGCCGCGTGTGCTCGCGCCCGGCACCTCCAATGGCACCCCAGAGGCCGGCGCGAGTCCTGCGCCGCCCAAAGGGGGCGCACCCGGGAGCGACGGCGGACACAGACCCGGAGGCGAACGCCAGCGAAAAGGGCCCCTCCCCGCGCGTCGCAAGGTTGCGTCTGCCCTGGCCGCCCGACGCGACCCGACCCCTGCCTGGCGGCCAACCACGCGGCCTGCACTTCCCCGCCAAACCCGGCCAGGCGGGCAGCTGGAGCTGCACCGAGCAGATCTCGATCCCCCCAGCCAGGACAACGAGGCCCGCACGGCGGAGGCTCGCAGCCAGGAGATTCGGCGGCACCAGAGGCCCGACCCGCGTCAGCGGCCAGAGCCCAGGGACCCCGACGCTGGACATCAACAGCGCAAAACAGGAATCAACAACATCCAGTGGGAGCTCCCCAGGGAGACACTTGGCGAGACGATACGCCGACTCCAAGTCACACTGGGACCGGCGTTCACGGGCACCTGGCACGCCTTCGCCAGGCAGCAGCGAGTGCCCGGCAGCAAGGGCGCGCTCGTCCCGCTTCGGCACGACCCGCAAACCTGCCACCGCTTCCTGGAGTCCTTCCGCGGCCACAAGTGCGACGTACGGATCCTAAGCGACGCGCTGGACCTCGACGTCGACTGGCCTCGGCCGCGGCAGCTGCAACGGGGTCGGAGCGGCGGAGTGAACAGGGAGCACCACGCGGCAAAGGGCCACCCGAACCACCCGGCCCCCAGGGAGCGCAAAACACGATGGAGGGCCGTCGCCCCACAGTAGCCCCGGCTTCTGTCTCGTTCAGAACTTATACATCTTCCTCTTGGCTGTTGTCTACGTGCTGCTTGTGTGGCTATACCGTCGGCATCAGTCCTTTTCTCCTCTGTCTGCGTGCTGCGCGTGTGGTTACACCGTGGACAGCTTGGTTTTCTTCTCTGGGATCCACCTTCTCTGTCGACTACGAGTTGCACACCGTACTCATCAGCCCGATTGGATTTCTCTTTCATCTTCTCTCTTGGTTATGACTGACTGTTGTCGGACGAGCCGTGCTTCTCCATCGGAGGAAACACGCTGTGAGGGTGCGCGGCGGCGGTGGAGGACGCGCGCGGCGGAAGACGCGCGGCGCCCAGGGAAGGCTGCAGCACAGACCCCCCGCCTGGTGGACAGGCGAGCAGGACCCCCCCGCGGTGACTGAAGTACATCCACAGGGAGCGGTGGAGGGATCAAACAGACGAGACCCAGGCCGGTCAACACCGTCTCTGCGGGCCGCCTCATCCTCATCCTCCTCCAATTCACCAGTTTGCGCGGCTATCGGCTGCGCCTCCCTTCCCCCCCCCTCCCCCCTGGGTCAGCACTGCGTAGATTGCCTGGGCCGGCCCCGACCGCGGCGACACGCCGACGACGGCGCCGATGGCGACGCCTTTTCCCCCCCTCCTGCGTCGCCAACGTCGACGACGGAGCCGAGTGCGACGCCTGACCTGGCTTCGACTGGGGCGCCTGCGCCGACGACGGCGCTGACGGCGACGCCCTGTCCGTCTCCGACATGCTCAGTCTGCGTGTCGCAGGGGTTCGCCTCGGAGTCGTCGGCTGCGGTGACTCGCGCGGCCAGCGCACGTCGCCAGGGTGCGGCACGGGCAGCGCGGCAGGTGCGGTTCGGCGACTGAGCGACGCTTAATCCGGCTCCCACTGCAACGCCAGTGCCGACGTCGGAGCCCATTGCGACGCCTGACCCGGCTTTGACTGCGACGCTGCGCCGACGACGGAGCCGACGGCGACGCCCTACCCGACCCCGACATGCACCCCAGGCTGCGTGTCGTCGGGGCTCGTGTGCGGTGACGACGGCTGCGGTGGCTCGTGCGGCCAGTGCTCGGTGCCCGATCCCTGGACGCTTGCGCCCCGAGCTTCTCCTGGCCCCCCGCCCCCCGGTGCGGGGCGACACGCTGCCCGTTCGCCCCCCTTGCGCGTCGCCGAGGCCGCCGCTTCGGCTCGCTGGCCGCCTTCTCTGCGCGCGGTGTTTCTGATTGTCCGGGGAGCGCGAGCAACAACCAGGAAGGCAGAGGCCTGTGGAGTGGAGATCTAGGGCACCAACGCAGTGACAGCACTGTCCTCCGCCAGTGGAGTGGCGCGTTGCCCCCCCCCCCGCGGTCGCTGAAGACCCTCCACAGGGAGCGGTGGAGGGATCACAGAGGTGACTCCGACACTGGCCTGACGTTCCCCCCCTTGCGGTCACTGACGACCCTCCACAGGGAGCGGTGGAGGGATCACAGAGGTGACTCCGACCGGCGTCGTTCCCCCCGCGGTCACTGAAGACCCTCCACAGGGAGCGGTGGAGGGATCACAGAGGTGACTCCGAGCACACAGCATCGACATAGGTGCCGCCTCTTCCTTTTCCTCCTCCAATTCACCGGACCTCACGCACATCCTCCAGGCTGTGCTGCTCTGGGCAAATGACAGCGCAGTCCCCCACAGAGGTCTGGCGCGCCGTTCCCCCCGCGGTCACCGAAGGCCCTCCGCGGGGAGCGGTGGAGGGACCACAGAGGCCACTCTGCCCACACAGCTTCGACCTTGGTGTTGCCTCTTCCTCCTCCTCCTTCTATTCACTGGATTGTGCGGCTATCGGCTGCGTCTCCCCTCCTTCTCGTTCTATTGTGCTGATTCGGCTCGCTGTGCCGCACGGGCCCCCCCCTACCGGCCCGCTCCACCGGAGCACTCGGGCATCCATGGGCACCTGGATGCTCACTGGCAGGGCTCCGAGGTGCGCTCGGTCAGCGCGGCTGCCATGTGGCGATCTGGGCAGCCAGGGTCGGCGGCAGTCTGTCCCCGCTGGCTCCAGCCCCTGGAGCGGGCGCGGATCGCCCGCGTGGACTGGGAGCGGTTCACGGCGCTTCAGGTGCTGGGCTTCGGCAAGGTGCAGCCCGGCGCGCCACCCCGCTCCGGCACCACCTGGGGCCGGACCTGAGGTGAGTGCTGTCCTGACAAGTGGTTCATCCTTTGGCAGGTCGCCGTTGTTCCCCCCACAGGTCCGGCCCTGCTACCCCGGTTGACGCTCGCATCTTTGTGCCCCCGTCCCCCGTGACCGATAAGATGCCCGCGTTGTACGCCGACGACTTGGTTGTCTCGCTTCCCACGGCGGGCGCCGCCTTCGAGCTCGTGCCAATGCACAAGTGGTTTATCCTTTGGCAGTGCTTGTCGGCACTCCCGCTGGATAGTCCGCGGTGCTCGACCAGTGCTTGCAGCTGTATCCCCCGGCATTCAGAGCCAGGCAGTTGCAGGTTGTGGACTCGGACGACACGGCCGACGCTTCCTTGCATAGGTCGGTCGCTCATGCCCGAGTACTTCCAGGAGCTCATGTGAGTGAGGCGTTCTTCGGTCCCCCCCCTCTTCTGTCCTCGCGTGCCCTCGCCCCCGCCGCCTTTCCCCGCGCTGCGCCTCCTCGTCATGTTGGACGGTGCGGCCTCTCTGGCCCCATCCGTGCTGCCTCAGCGCGGCGTGACCCACGCCCTTACGCGCTGGTCGGCACGGACTGAGCTGGCGCCACTGTGCGACTCCTCCGCCGTCCGTCTCCTTCTGATGCCTGCGTCCCCGCTTCCGGGTCGCCTGCATCTTAATGGAGGGCATTTTGCCCCTGGCACGTGCACTAGCTGCGTCGGCGCATGCGCCGTCGCCGCTAATTATTTCGCCCTGTGCCCCAGCCGAGACCGTCCCGCTTCCTGGATCCGTCCTTGGAGCCGCCAATCGAAAAAGCGTATGCCCGCCAGCCCATCCAGGAGGAGTCGCCAGAGGAGTTGCCCTTGACAGGAATGTGTAGCCACACGCAGTAGCACGACATGAGGGCAGCCGCTATCTCCGGAAAGAGAAGAAGGATTATTCAGGAGCTTGTCTGGAGCTCTTCGGGAAGTTTCTGTGGGGTGTGGGGGGTGTGGGGTCTCTTGGAGACCTTTTGGCGGCCTTGAGCCTTGGGGGCCCTCTTGGGGTCATCTTGAAGGCCATCGAGCAAAAACGGTTGCAGCGTAAACGGCGTAATCTACGCCCCACCCACCCACCCCCGCACCCCCAGCCTTAGCCCGGAAGTTGGCCTTTCGGAGCCTTGTTGGGGCGCTCATGGGCGCACTGGCGGCCATCGTGGGCATTTCTAGAGCCCCTCTTGTGGCCCTCCTGGGCCATTTTGGCCATTTTGAAGCCATCTTGAGGCCTCACGAGCCCTGAAAAGGCAAGAAGCCATAACATATCGAGAAAAAACACCAGGGTCTACAGGATTCTAGCGTATTGGAGGCCTCCTTGGGAAGCTCGGAGGGAACTTGGAGCCGACCCGGGGAGTTTCGAGCAATTTGGGGTCATGCTAGACATTCTGACGACTCGCGGAACGCCCCGTCCAGACACAGGGGGAGAGGCTCGGGGGAGGGGGAAGCCCCTCCCTGAAGGGGAGGAAGGGGGTTAGCAGAACGAGCTCATTAGACCACTCACGCCCAGAAAGCTGGTGGGTTTTAGTCGCAAGTCCGCGGAGTTCAGAGCTGCGGCGTGTGCGCCGTGGTAGCCTCACTGATTGCAGTGTAAATGAGGCACGAAGAGTGTCAGCTCTCTGGGTGCACCCCTGCGCCTCCCCCCCTTACCAATAGTGTCCCTCCCTCCCTCCTCTATCCGGCCCCTTCCTCCCTCTTTTCCCTCCCTTCCCCATCGCCCTTCTCCGCCAGTCCCCTCCCCTATCCCTCCTGCCTCCTCATGCTCCTTCTCCCCCGTTTCCTCATCCGTTCTTCTCCTCTCCGACCCCTCGTCCCATCACTCCTCCTCCTTGTCCCCCTCCCCAGGTGGCGCCCGCTGCCAAGGACGGCGAGAAGATACGCATTCAGATCGAGTCGCACGGGGGTGCCGTGACAACAAAGTTCCGAATGTTCCCGACGTCCTCCTTCTCGAAGATGATGGACGCTTGGTGCGACCAGCAAGAGGTGCGCAGAATCACGATGAGGAGGTGGCGGATACAAGAGGCAGGTGGAAGTGGAGGGGAGGGAGGAGGAAGGAGAGAGAGATAGAGGAGAAAGAAGACAACGAGGGCAAGGAGGACAACAAGAAAAAGGAGGGTCAGGAAGTGCAGGAGGACGACGACGAAAAGCAGGAATAATGTCATGTTGAGGAGGATGGAATAGAGATGAGCAGAGGGAGAAAAGAGGGGAAGGAGAGACGGGGGAAGAATCGAGAAGGGTGAGAGGAAGAGGAGGAGGAGGGACGATCAAGTTAGACAGGTTGAACTCACTAGGCCTCGCCAACTCTCACCCTCCCTCTCATAGCAGAAGTTCCCATAACATGATAAGCAATGTTGGCACAACGTGATGTTGGGACTGACCAGCGTCCACACTCAGCGAACGGAAAGCGATGGCGCGCTGCCCCGATTCCGACGACGTGGCGAGGGGGGAAAGCACGGGCCGCATAGGCAGCAGCAGAATGTCAGAAAAGCTGTGAGCGGCGCTGTGGCGAGAGCACCATGCAGTCCTCTTCCCGAGGGAAAATGTCAGGTGAACGCGGCGAAGAGACAAGACATGCACCGCGCCGAAGCAGCGCTGAAACTCTCATACGACCTGTATGCTTCGCCACAGCGAGAACAGAATTTCGCCCGCTCTCGCGCGGCGCCGCGGGCGCTGTCTTGCGACTCAGCGAACGCTGGGGAGGGCGCCTCGGCCACCAAAGCAAACGCAGCCTCGGACGCAGGGCTTGCCGTGGGTTTTGCCGCAGCGCCGGCTTCGTCTCTTCGGGGCGCGGGGTGCAGTGCTTGCCGTGGGTTTGCCGTGGTGTCGGCGTCGTCCATTTGGGCGCCTCGAGGAAAATCGGCGCTGCGACATGTCATGTGCCCCGACCGAGCGGGAATGCCACTTCTGGGCGAAACTTCCCCCGAGCTTGGGCGGTGCCAACAGTTCTTCCGCCTTCCCGCGGGCCCCCCCCCCCGACGATTCTTGGCGAGTGACAGACGTGCGCCCGAGGAGGAGGAGGAGGAGGAGGAGGAAGAGGAGGAGGAGGAGGAGGAAGCGCAGGAGGGAGGTAAGGATATACGAGGAGGAGGAGGAGGAAGAGGACGAGGAAAATGATGATGCTGATGATACGTTGATGATGAAGGTGATGTTGACGACGACGACGACGACGACGACGACGACGACGACAACGACGACGATGATAATGATGACGACGACGACGACGACGATGACGATGATGATGACGATGGCGATGACTATGATTATGACGATGACAATGCCGATGATGAGGAGGAGAAGGAGGATGAGGAGGAGGAGGATGTTGTTCTCGGTGGTGATGATGATGATGATGATGATGATGATGATGATGATGATGATGATGATGATGATGATGATGATGATGTGACGGTGATGGGGTTTATGATACACATAATGGTATTGATCATGAGGATGATGATGGTGATGGTGATGGTGATGATGAGGATTATGATGATGTTTTTATGATGATTGTGATGCTGATCATCATGATGATGATGGTGATGATGATGATGATGTTCACGATGATGGTGATGATGAGGATGACGATGACGATGACGATGATAATGATGATGTTGATGATGACGATGATGATGATGGTGGTGATGATGTTGATGAACATGATGGTTTTTGTTGTTGATGATGATGCTGGTGGTGCTGATGATTATGATGATTATCCTGATGATGGTGATGGTGATGATGATAACGATGGTAGTGATGATGATGATGTGATGATGATGATTATGACGCTGATGATGATGATGATGATGTTGATGATGATGAGGAGGAGGAGGAGGAGGATGATGATGGTGGTGGTGGTGGTGCCGAGGAGGAGGAGGAGGAGGAGGAGGCAGAAATGGGCGGGTGAAAAGAGGGGAATGGGGAGGTAGACTGGCACGCTGGAGGAGGAGAGGGGACCAGGATAAGGAGGAGCAGGAGAAGGAGGTGGAGGAGAAGGGATGGGGATAAGGGCATAACGCGGGAGGGAGGAGAAAAGGAAGCAGAGGGATGAGGGCAGAGAGAATAGGAGGATGAAGAGGAGGATGAAGAGGAGGAGGAGGAGGAGGAGGAGGAGGAGGAGAAGAAGGACGACGACGACGACCAAGATGCTCGACGCCTGGTGCGACCAGCTGAAGACACGCGGCAGCCTTGCCCCCTGGCTTCAGTGGCAGATGCCCATTCGAGCTCACCGCTCCTCACCACCACCTCTCCCTCTCCCCCCTCATCCATCCCCATCCCTCTTCATCCCTCCTCCGTGCTCCCTCCCCCTCTTGCGCCTGCGCCTCCTCCTCCACCTGCTCCTCCTCCTTCTCCTTCTCTGTGGTGTCCTTCTTCTGCTATTCCTCCTCCTCAGGGGGAGGGGGGGAAGGGAGGAACGGAATCTCTCTAGAACTAGTTGTTGAAGCAGAAGAGGCAGCAGGGAAACCCAAGTAGCTCCTCCACCCAGAGATGGGGCACGGGGGCGCCGGCGCGGCTGGGAGCTGACGGCTGATGGTTGCGTGTGTGACGGAGGGAGGGAGAGAGAGAGAGAGAGAGAGAGAGTGGGAGGTAGGGAGGAGAGATAGGGAGGGAAAGAGGGAGGAAGGGGGATAGGGAGAGGGGTACGGGTGGCTGGGTTCCCCAGATCTCCCTGAAGGCCTCCATTGACCCAAAAAAGTATGAAAAGTCCAGAAATGGATCTTCTAACCTCGACCACCGAAGTTCGACAACGACGACGACGACGACGACAGCGACAGCGACAGCGACAACGACCCCTGGGCCGACAGGTGCCCAGGGGCGTCGCCCACTTCGAGCTGTGCGAGGGCGGTCGTGTGCTGCTCCCAGGAGCCTAGGGGGCAGCTAGGAGGAGGAGGAGATGGAGGAGTAGGCGGAGGATGAGGATTCGAGCTTCGAGGATCGAGATTTTGGGGCGTCTGTGGTGCCTTATCGGGCGCAGGGGTCCCCAGAGGCCTCTGCGGGGGACGCCAGGAGCCTCGTCGGGACGAGACACACGGAGACACTAAAGGTGTTTCGGATTTCCCAGGAGGAGAAGGAGGAGAATAATGGGGTGCAGGAGAAGGAGGAGAAACAAAAGGATAGGGTGGAGTTGAAGGAGGAGGTAGAGGAGGAGGAGGAGGAGGAGGAGGAGGAGGACAACGAGGAAGAGGAGGAGGAGATAGAGGAGGAGGAGGAGGAGGAGAGAAGGAGAAGGAGAAGGAAAGGAAGGAGAAGGAGAAGAGCAAGGAGGAGGAAGAGGAGGGGAGGAGGAGGAGGAGGAGGAGGAGGAGGAGGAGGAGGGGAAGTGCCAGAACAGGGGGAGGCCACAGGGGGAACCAGTCGAAGCCCGTCGCTCTCCTCCCCGCTTTCTCCTCACGCGGTCGCTCGGATTCGTCGGCCCCGCTGCGATTTCGAGCTCCAGGCTGCTGAGTTGCAGGCTGCTGTTGGTGTGCGTTGAACTTGCTCTTCCCCTAGCAGAGGGGCAGAGGGGGAGGAGGAGGAGGAGGAGGAGGAGGAGGAGGAGGAGGAGGAGGAGGAGGAGGGCAGGAGAGAGAAGAGGTGGAGGTGGAGGAGGAGGAGGAGGAGCCACGAACCGCCAAACGATCGAGTCGTGTAAGTGGCAGTGCGCCGATCGATCGGCCACGCGTTTTTTTTCATCCTTCACCCATTACATCCTTGCATGCCCGTCCTTTACATATCATGCATGATCCTCCACTCTTGCACTCGTATATGTTGGTTTTTCGCCCTCGCGCTACGCCGCACCGCCACAGCATCATCACGACTTCGCCAACAGCCGCGCACGACAGCACAAGCATCACTTGCACGGCCATGGCCTAGCAACCTCCACCCGTCTCCTAGACTGCAGCATGTTGCAAGCAGTAGCACAACGACTTTGTCGACTTCAAACCCTGCCGGGCACCGCCGAGAGCGGGCCAAGCGGGCAGCAGCACGTACATTACTACGTGTGACATCAGCGCGCACCCTACCAGACCAAATGACACAACAGCAGTTTCACACAGCTCGCCGACTCCTCGATCAACACAGCAGTGCAAAACTATCACCTAGACTCCTTACTGACACAATGTCAAATTACGCACCAACGCCAAGGCAAAAGCGACATCAAACACCAACACAAACATCACAACAACACAGGAAAAGGTCCCAATTGGCAACCGAGCGGCCATGCAGGCTACACGTATTCATCCCACCAAGAGCCAGTAGATCAACAGACGCCAAGACAACTCCGCCAACAGAACTACGACGACACCAACCAGCAGCCAACCAGACCATCACAACACTGAGCAAAAAACACACGTGCCGCAACCGCCACGACCGATTACACCAAGACCAAAGACACAACAACCGGCAGCGACCACCTCCCGACGCGACGACCACGTACCCCAGCCAACTTGTGGAGCCACTTCTGACCATGTGGCATACACGGCACAAGAAAACAAGGCATTCATTGACGACATACCAGACGCAGACTACAATGACGCCCTTCACAAAAACAAGCCAGGAGCTACACCAATCGAAGTTGGAGCCCGGCACACGACGAAAGCAGCTGAACTTCGCAGAAGTGCCACACACGTGATTGAATCCGCAAACGCAGGCCAACATGCGCGCCAATTTCGGCAACAGATCGCCTTCATCAAGCGACAAAGACATGATAATAAAGAACAAAAAAAAAATGAAAAGCTGAAGTACATACGACGTGTCACGCCGATTACGCTGCATGCACCAAGATCTTAGAAGCAACGATTGAAAAAAAAAAAAAAAAAAAAAAAAAAAAAAAAAAAAAAAAAAAAAAAAAAAAAAAAAAAAAAAAAAAAAAAAAAAAAAAAAAAAAAAAAAAACGACAGAACCATGACGCCAACATACCCAAGACCAAGGTCTACGACAAGCTCGAAATAAAACCGAGTCAACGATAGACAGCATACACCCAGCAGTCCTGATTCACGAGCACAAGACATACATCCTGAAAGCTTGGGGTGACCACAACTTGACCCACTCGAGCCAACCAAGCCCACCAAGCAAGATACGAAAGACAATCAGGAGGCGCACCGATTCAAGGTGCGACTACAACCAGCTTACGACAAGCTCAAGGACAACGACAAGTCTATGGGATAATTCAGGAAAACCAAACAGACAAAATGACGCACCTAAAGACACGACCACGGACTGCTGAAGATACCATACAGCAGCTACAAGAGCCCACGGACCACCTCTCCAACAGCTTTCACGAAGCCAGGGAATTCAACGAAGCACTTCGACAAGCTGAACAACGACTACAAGCACATACGGGCGCAGCACTACGACTTGAAGAAGCAGCACCACGCGACAGAGACCAGACCACCCTACAAGACGAGCAAGGACACCACCGAATGGAGAGCATCTCTGAGCAAGCAATGTAATACCACACGGCTACGAGACCCTCTGGCCGAAAACGATTACTATGCCCTTGCGCACCGACGCGCCTCACTTCACACTTGCAGGCGGAAGCTACCATAGCAGCACGGCGACAAGAAGTACGGGAAGACGAAGGACATCCAGAAGAAGAACAAGAACAGCGGCGCAGCACAAATGACCGACATGATGCAACAATACGACAAGCCAAAAGAGCCACGGAAGAACGCATGTGCGGCACACCATTACCAATTTTAACAGAGATAACAAGCCAGACCATACCATCCGACAGCAGAATGTACATTACACTTCGTGGAGCAAGGTCTAGCCCAGGAAGCGCAACCAGCCAAGTGGTAAGCACAGCAGCCCGAGAACCACGAGGAACCGCACGCCTCTTACATAGCACAACGTGGACAAGCACAAGAAGCCTTCGACAAAGAGACAATAGCAGCAGAGGACGCAGCTCAGACAGCACAGCGACTCCAACAATATGAGAGCAGCTTGCTGGCCAAGTACGAAGACCAGGAGCATCACGCCTCATCATGGCAAGCGCAACAGAACAATTTCACATGGCACATGGCCAACCAGTACTACCAACAGCGGATCCACACAGCTGAGCAAGACCAGCGAGGACCAGAGGCATAAAGACAGAGCCGGCTCAAGACGCTAAATAAAGGCGAAATAACACAGATGCAATCAGAAAGGTGGCATACTAAACGGGAAGAAGAACAAGCAGAGCACGAAGCGAAACCAACAGAAGCAGAAAGTACAACACGAAGAAAAAGCCGAGCACGAACAGTACGACAAGCCAAAGCAGGGCACGAAGAGAAACAACAAGCCGAATTACTCCCAGGACTGGACCTAGCAATACCAGGCTTCGACCACGACAGCGAAGACTCAACCCGCATACAAGAGGAAGACCACGGGGAACACCTTCGCCTACCACGCCAAGAACTGCGTAGGCAGGGGGCAAAACACAACGACTACAGGTCGAACTGGGAGGCACCACTGGCGACGACATCGACGACGCAGTGGGTGGCACGGCAGCACAGCACAGCTCGTTCGACATACCTATACAAGATTTCGCAGACATTCCACCTGCGTAGTAAGCGCGATACGAGTAACAAGTTCGAGTCGGCTCATCAAGAAGGCATACCACTGACGCGAAAAGAAGCATATTCTGGAAGACCTCAGACTACACAGACCCCGCAGCACCGCAGATCTAGGCGGATTTTTCGCTACAGACACCCTGCGGGCGACACGCCGCAAGGCGTCAGCACGCGTCAACAACGAGCGAGAGTTTATTATTACGTCGTACAACACCAGTTTGTTGAAGAACCATAGCAGCACAGCGCAAGGTCGCCGCCAGGCCACAGGCCCCCCATCCCCCACCAAGGCATGCACCACAACATGCACCGGCAGCGGTCGAGACCATGGAGGCAACAACTACAACACCGCCACTTGACATCGAGCCAGTAGGGCCAAAAATCGAATGCCGACTTTGTCCTACTGGCACACCGTTGAATACGGATGCGCTTGTGATGCCGCCCCACTCAACCGTAGCAACCCCGCGCATTTGCTTGCAACCTTTCGCTTGGTAAGACCCATGTGGTCAGCACTGACAGTTCCACTGGCGAACGGGACCCCACGCCTCGCTCTACAAATTCCCAAGCAAGGCGCACCCATCACCCGAATCTAGCGCACCAAAGAGCAGGCGACGCATAGTCACTGCCACAGGAGAATCTCAGCACTACCCATAACACACAACGGGACATATCGGGCCATCTTTTTCTTGCCATCCATCACCCCAGCAGACCTTCACCTTTCTGAAACGACCTTATTGACATCACCTTACACCATACCGCCCAAGCAACTGTTCGAAATTACAACCAGCCTTGAACAACATGTTCCTCGCTGATAATTTATATTGACGGCCCTTCCAGCAAGCCAAATAGGAATCTGCATGAGCATTCATAGTCCTCAAATACGACGAGCACGCTTCGCGTCCGCACGGCTCCTACAAGGGCGCCATCACGCACAGAATTTGCAGCAACATCGACAATGACAAACCCGACAGCACCAAAGTAGAGTTCTCCGCTATCACGCGGGCCAGTACACACACACACACACACACCGCAACAGCCTCCTCAGTTCCACGGACAAATACACTCTGACTCACCAAGTGCAATACATATGCCGACTCAGTTCGCGCACACCGATGACCCCATTACCAAATTAGCTCGCGCATTATACCAGCAGAAAGATGCAACAACCGACTATTGCGCATATCCCATGATACAGCACGACGGCTCCCATTACGGGATCACACATATCAGCTGAGCAAACACCACTCATTACCAACACGCGTCAATGGAGCACGCAAGACCGACGACCATTCGGAACGTGGGCAAACGACACCGACACCACGACAGCTTATTTAA